TGGAACCACGATTTGATTGGTTCGGTTTGTTTCGGTTCGGTTTCGGTTTTTTCGGGTTTTTTACCAAAAATTTTTCACTTGATTTAAAATTGATATAATATATACTTAGAGGGATCAAACATATTACATAAAGAATTCAAGCACAATACAACGACAAATAAAATAAAAATGAGAAGAGATAAATATGTCTTGAGTTATATGAGTATGCGAGCTAGATAAAACTGTATATATTATTGATTTAATTTGTTTGTGAGTAGTTTAAAATTTTTTCATGAATATCTGTGTTCTATGTGATATAGTTGAGATTAATATTTATTGTTTTATCAATATAAAATGTTAAAGTTATCTAAAAATAAAAGTTAATTACTACTAATAACTACTCCCTCCGTCCCGCTATGATTGTCCCATTTTACCATTTCGATCCGTCCCACTAAGATTGTCTCATACCTTATTTGGTAAAGTTTGTGTGGTTCTAAATCATTCTTACTTTATTCTTACTTTATCAATTCAATATCAACCACATAAACCCACTTTTATTAATAACTGTGCCACCTTCTCTTGTCCCAAATATAGGGGGACGGAGGTAGTAGTAAACACATATGATCATCATTCAATATAGCTATTATTACAGACAATGAATGTGTAAATGAATTTATATATAAACTAAATTAAATTAAACATAACACAAACATTAATTCTCTAACACACGAAAACCAAAGAAAACCAAAGACTATTGATGATATTAAGATTAATTAGAATTAATGCTTAACAATTAACATATAAATTTCATATTTTCAATAGTTCGGTTTGTTCGGTTCGGTTCGGTTTTGAAGGGTAAAAACCAAAACCGAACCGAACAACTTCGGTTCGGTTCGGTTTTTTACATTCGGTTTCGGTTTCTTAGCGGTTCGGTTTTATTTGGTTGCGGTTCGGTTTAATTTGATTCGGTTTTCGGTTTTTCGGACCCAGCCCTAATTCTCAATCAATTTTTTTCTCCTCATAAATTGTTTTTAAATGGCAGCCGACAGATCCACATCCCAATGCCCCAGGTTTAAATACATTGAATGCATGCGTGAATTAAAACTCGAGCCGCACCGAGCCGAGCCGAGCCGAGCCGATGGTCAGCGCACATGCAGCTCGGTCGACGCGGATTTCGAAACACGTGGAGGAATCTGGGAGGTGTTGTGACGGAGGAAGCGGTGACGCTTTTCTCGTGAAGTGTGATTCGAAGCATGTGAATATACTCCGTATTTCTTTTCAACGTAAATTTTGGGGCGACAGGAATGGGAGGTTGGGGCGGCCAGCGGGCCCCACGCACCTACCTATCCCAAATTCGTCACGTTATCTTCGTGTTTACGCCTCCCGCTTTTCCCTACTGTATAAGGTGCTAATCAGTACTGCAAATTTTTGTTTCGATCCCTTTCCATTTGTTAGGCTTTTATTCCACAACAACCTATACAACGTGAAATATATGCACCTAAATACGAGTAAAATTTAGCCCATGTTATGTTAAATTTTCCAAACATGATTAAAAACATTTTGAAAATTAAAAATTGAGATATTACGTGTACTTATATAGTGTTATATGATAAATATGGAGTAAATAAAAGTCTATTTTGAGGTTTACAAATCTAACTAACTCTATTTTTAACAATTTATCATATTTTTTCCCCAAAAAACAATTTATCATATTTTTTATTTTTATTTAGGATGATTTCAATTTGAAAAATTCAAAGGATCACAATTCATAGAATATGGATATATTTGTTCTCACACTCATGCTATAAGGGGTATATTTGTGCCTTTTCCCAAATGAGAAACTAGGAGCTTGTTTGACAATACTAAAATCGACTGAATCGGTTGATTCTGTTGAAATTTATTTAGTTCTGACCGAAGTGATTGAATTGACTTATTCTACTGATTTAATAAAAAGTTAGATTTAAAATACATTTTATTAATAAAATAACGAAAGCATTATACGTAATTTCAGCCAATACAAATAGGAGAGTAACTACAACCTTAATTTTAGTGACATTTAAGAAAAGGGGTTTTAATGGAATGTTTAAAAGATGGTTAAATGCTTGAAAAGTACTCACTCTGTCCCCCTATGATTATCTCATTTTACCTTTTCGGTCCGTCCCACTAACATTGTCTCATACCTTATTTGGTAAAATTTGTGTGGTTCTAAATCATTATTACTTTATTCTTACTTTATCAATTTAATATCAACCACATAAATCCACTTTTATTATGACCGTGTCACCTTCTTTTGTCCCAAACTTAGGGGGACGGAGGTAGTAATTTTTTAAAACTGGAGACGTTTTATATGAAAAGTTCAAATCCGATCCAGCCTGGTTATATGAAAATCCAATCCGATCTTGGCCCGGGTTACATGGGTCCAGCCCCTTGTCTTAATTGATTTTCAAATTAGAATTCATAAGAGGACGAAATTTTCACGTGACGGAATTGGAATTTCATAAATATTTAATAGATCAGCCTTGATTACAGAGTTGCAATTCAATTAAAATGTCATATATTAAAGTTGTTTGAAAATAAAAATTATTTTTATGAATCAAAAGTCTATTTTTATGAAAAAGTTATTGTTTTTGTAATATAAACAATGAAAATCAGGGTTGTTTTTTAGGAGGTTCAATAAGTTATCTAGAATGAGGCCCACGAATTTATGGGGCCCCAGAATTTTAATTTTCTTTTTTTGTTCTTTTTAATGAGTATCCAATTGATTTGATTATATATATTTGAATTGAAAGTTTTTCTATTTTTTTACATAAATGTGGGGCTTTGATTTAACATTTAGAATCTGGGCCTCCGTATTCATTAGACGACCCTGGTGAAAATCAATCTAAATACCCATTTTATTATGTTTAATTTTTATCTTCCAATTATTCAACATCGTGTAGGAGCCTTTGTTAGTAATATACGGTTCGTGAATAATACAATAATACGTACGTTCGTGTATAATACGATACAATTATATAAAATACGGCTTAATATATGTTTCATACGTTCATGAAATATATAAGGATACGGACGTGTTTTAAACGTTTCACAATTTAAAAATACGGCATATAATATGTGTCTTATATACTAATTTAATGATAGAAATAAAGAGTTATTTAGCATTTCCACCACATTCTTCAATAATTTAAAATGTAAGGAATAGTTTTTTCATATATACGGATTTGAACACATAAGTACAATAAGTAATAAAAATGACGTTGCCTATTTGAGTAGAAGTAGAAAGACATCATTAGAGAATAGTTGATATTACTGTGACCGTGAGTTTGGTGAGCCGCCACAACATTTTTCGATCTCTTTGGAGTCTTGATATGGGTGGAGAACAAAAGTAATATACTAGTAGTACAATAGTAATATCGAAATGTATTACGAATTTAAGAAGCTAATTAACCTAATTTATTAAATGTAATGACTATTACACAATTAACGAACATATAAGGCATACATTTTTTAAGCAATGGAAAAAATATTGAGCATCTAAACATTTCATTTTAGTTGTATCACTACATTAGGTTTCCGTTTAGTGGTGTGTGTTTTTGAATAAAATATGTATCAATACATACAGTAAGTGTATTATACTTAAAGTACGTGAGGTTTTCAGAATTTTCTGAAAAATTCATAAACGAGAGTATTATACGGCAATAAAATACGTATCAATACGTACGGTACGTGTATTATACATTTTATCCTTAAAGTACGCGAATTTTTCCGAATTTTTTGAAAAATTCATAAACGGGAGTATTATACGTGAATTATACGTTTGAGTGTATTATACGCGAATTATACGCGAATAAACTAACACAAACTAGGAGCACAGAAGGACCTCTTTGAAAAGATGTATGTAAAGCAAAACTGGAAATAACTTTCGTTAGTTTGATGCAAATACTCCCATCGTATGTACGGGCGTTGAATGAAATGCTTTTTTTTTTGGATACATCGGAAAAGAAAGAAACAAAAAGAGTTAAAATCTGATAGTTTCTAACCCATTCTCTTCTTCCCAAAGTAGACGTTGAATGAAATGCTTTTTGAAACAGTGTAATGGCCATTTATATTCTACTCCCTCCCAAACCCCTTAAAGTTTGCCAACTTTAATTTTTTTGAGTGTCCCATTAATTTTGTTATTTTTCCTTTTAAATAAAAAATTTGTGATTTCCACGAATTCTCTTTCCTCTACACAAATTAGTTATTTTTACTTTATTAATTCCCGTATTAATCAAACTTGAAAAATTTATGATAGGCTCAAGGATCAAATAGGCTATCGAACTAACTTAAAAAGTGCAATTCACTCCTTATATAGGAGGTTCCATCCGGCCGTCACCAATTGGGGCGGTTCCCGGTGAATTTTTGGATGAAAGTTTTTGAGCATTTTCTTCATTATGTCTAATCTACTCATACCAAATTTCTGCTAAAAATTCAATCGGGAAGGCAGTCAAATGAAATTTTGAAGATAATTGAGCAGTTAAACAACACAGTATATTTCAGAATATCATTTGACTGTCTTCCCGGTTAAATTTTTATATGAAACTTGGTATGTGTAAACTATACTTAATGAAGAAGATGCTGAAAAAATTCATCAAAAAATTTCATTGGGAACCGCCCCAATTGACGACGGCCGGACAAAGTCTCATCTATAGGGCTGAATTGCACCTTTTAAGTTAGTTGCAGAGTCAATTTGACCCTTTAACCTTTGTTATTACGGAGTATAATATATATACGTACTACGTATATACTATCGTATATATTCGGAATAAAATAGTATGGAGTAAAATGAAAAAAAACAGGGGTCCAGGTGAGTCCTGTGCGGTCCCCATATTTTCTGTTCATTTTTGGAAGGGGAAACACGTTTGAATTTATGGCACGACTTATTCAACGTAATAATGTCACTATTTACTGATCCAATTTTGGCTATGACAGTGGCGGCCCCGGGGCAGGAGAGGCGGGGTATAGGCCCAAGAAGTTGGAAAAGGTTTGGCCCAATATTATTTCTGCACAGCCCAATGCTAACGGCACAAGTGTAGCAAACGGCCCAGTAATACGGACTTCAGTCTTCGTACCCGCCCACGCTTGGCTGCGTGCCGCCAACCCCTGCCTTCTTAGTCCAATCGGCCCTTCTCCTCACCTTTAATCTTCAATCGTTCAATGCTTCACGGAGTTCACGCCTTACGCCTTTACCACTTCAGCCTTCGGGTAGACAGGTAGGTACTCCTCCGACTTTTGGTTTTATCGATTATTTGATTAGTTTAGTAATTGATTTAATTCATAACTGTTTAATGTTTGTTAATGAATACGGCGTATGTGATACATAATTAGTTGATTTGTTGGCTGTTAAGTGAGTGAGAGTGAATAAATGTTTTTTTATGTTTAGTTCATATTCTTAATTCTTGATTGTTAATTAGTTCATAGTTGGTGTTGATTGTTGAATTTTAATTGATTAGTGATTTTGCTATTTTGCAATTCAATTTGGATTTTGTGTTGGTCTTATAATTTTTTTATTTCGTTCATTAAAAATTTTCACTTGTAGTTACATTTATAAAAATTAATTAATTTCAATGAGAAAGAAAAAACGAGAAAACATTAGAGAATGTGGAAAAATTTGTTTGTGTGGTAGTCAAATTTAGTCAAAATTGTTAGTGTGAACTCAGAGATTTAATAAATGAATTTAAGTCTTTTATTAATAAAATGGTCTTCAAATATTATTATGCATGTTAGTTTAAAGGTAAAAGGTATTTTTAAACTAAGATACCAAGTATGTTAGTTTAAACATACTTGGTATTTTTTAAGATTAAGCCAATTTTAAATTTTTTTATCCACACTGACTAGTCAATGACTCTGCATAAGTGTCTAGGCCACATATAATATGATAATATCATTAGGCCATATACATCCACACATCTATAAGACCACAAACATATACACAAATAATACATAAAGAGATAATACTCCTAATATGAGTAAATCATATCAAAATGGAAAAAATAGGAGTAGATGTTTAAAATTTCCTAAATAGGAGCCCTTTTGTGATTGAACAAGAGCACCCCGCAGGGGTTGGGGTTTGCCACTGCCCACTGGGTTGCTGCTGCTGGTCGCTGGAACAGCGCCGTCGCCAATCGCCACAATTTTGCTGCCAATAGGCCGCTGCCACCACCGGATTACCCCACCACCAACGGACTGAACTTGGTTATGCAAGAGAACTTAGGAGAACAATTAATTACTCCTTCCATCCCAAAAAGATTCGCCAAATTGACTTTTCTTAGTCAATTACAATCAAGTTTGACCAATAATATTTTTTAATACGAAATTATTTAGAATATTAAAATTATATCAAAATATTCTCTATTCAAAATATTTATTTGAAAGTATAAACTTTATCAATTATATATAAATATAATAATTAAAATTATTGTCCAAAGTTTGTCATTATTGACTAAGAAAAGTTAATATGACAAACTTTTTTGGGACAGAGGTAGTATCACTTAGGGCTTGTTTTCAAGCTAAGGGTGAGACATATATTTCATTAATAGATTCCTCAACACAACTCTCCAGCCGTCCCGCTTTGGTAAAGGAATGTTACTCTGTTTGGTCATGCTGGAGATGCCAAGCATGCTCAGGACGGATCTAGTCCTATGAAAGTCACGACCTATATTGTAATCAATGTTGTTGGGATGCCTTGATTCTTGAACTACCTTAACATGGAGATGTATGATATAGGTTATGTTTGATCTGTTTTGAGTTATTTTAGTAGGGTTATTTTGTCGCCCACGTGTTTTGAAGAGTGTATTGAGGTTATTTTTACTCCAAAAACATCTAAAATTAAAAGTACGCCCAAACTTCCTCAAAACTAGCACTGAAGTAGCCCTGTCAATTATGGCAGCGCTATAGTGCCCGCTACAGCTGCTTTTCTTCCCGCTATAGCGCCCCCTATAGCCGCTATTGCCAACTGCTCCCTCACGTCGCTATAGGCAGTCTCATAGCGCCCAGCCCCCACTATAATGCTGCTATAGCCCGCTATTGACATCATTGCCATGTGCCCCTCAGATCTTGAATACCATTCTGAAATACCCGTAATACTTCGATGTTTTGAGACCTGCTTACTTGCAAGTAATCGGGTTTCCAATTTTTCACTTGCTGGTTTTGCTTAATTGCTTCCAATTACATACTAGGCTAAGGCAATGAAGTATGTAATTATTCCAGATTTTCAGATCCACATTCAGTTTGCCAGTTCACAACTATTTGATGTTCGTTATCAGTGCTCAACCTTTTCCAGTGCTCCAACGTGGTAGTGAGCCAATAGAGCATCTTCAAGTTGATGAGCTCTAGTTTCCAAAGGTCACCAATGTCTAATGATTGTCAGGTTTTTTCTTCGCCTTCTGTATTATAAATTGAACTCGTAACTTGTACTCCCTCCGTCCCTTTTTATTTAGCCAAACACTATTTTTCAAGTCAATCATGTTTACTTTGACCGATTATATATTTATACACGGTAATATTGTGAATATGAAAATAATATGGAAAGGTTATTTGCTAAAAGTGCTATCATAAAAGTATAAATTTATTAAGTTTCACGTAGATATATTAGTTGAAGGGCCGCTAAAAGTTTCATTTTCAGGGGATTTGAGAGAGTAGGAGCACGTCATCTTTTGAACTTTGGTTTGAATTTGAAGTTAAAGAGCTCGATCAAACAAATTCACATGGAAAATACTCAAACCAGGAGCAATTCAAGGGGTGCATTGGTTGTATTTGAAGGGCTGGACCGTTGTGGAAAGACATCACAGTGTAGTAGATTGGTAAAATACTTGGATGACATTGGGCACTCAGTTCAGGCATGGAGATTTCCTGATAGAAACACCTCTATAGGGCAAATGATATCTTCGTATCTCGCCAATAAGTCTCATTTGGATGATCATGCAATTCATCTGCTTTTCAGTGCCAACCGCTGGGAAAAGAGGTATGGTTCTCTGGGTTCTCTGTCATGTGATCAAAGTAATCGCCTTCTTATATTTGCTAAATGATGGTTGTGCCTAAAATAAAGGGAAAAGTGCAAACACACTCTTGATGTTTAGGTGTTTAGGTGCAAGTGCAGATATGCTCCTAAACTTTTGGTGCCTACAATTTTATGGGTTCCAAACAGACCATTTATTAATGCTTGAATTCTTCCAGGTGGTTTATAAATTCCTCCAGTGTCAACTGAAAATGTAATTGCAGGTCATTAATGGAAGAAACTTTAAAGAGCGGAACTACTGTTATTGTAGATCGTTACTCTTATTCTGGAGTGGCATTTTCATCTGCAAAGGGACTTGATATCCAATGGTGTAAGGTATAAGCATTTATCAATTTTACTATGTAAATTCAAGGTTTTTATTGGTCCATGTTATGAGACATCTTAATGTGCAGAACCCTGATATAGGACTGCTTGCTCCAGATCTAGTGCTGTTCCTTGATATATCACCTGAGGTAATCATTTTTATTTTCAGTTTGAATGCATTTGGAATTGGAGAAACAGCAAGGAAGGAGGCGTGTGGTACATTCCGTGAAAAGTGGAACTTAATTCACTTTCGACAAGGGAATCATTTTCTCACTTCCATCCTTGTCATCCACTTTCCTTTCAAATTTAAGGAATTAAAGCCTTGCAACTAATATTGTTCACGTTCCACTAAAGCTCAAAGAGTCACAGTGCATGTGTTATGATGGAAAATAAATGGGTGGAAGGGTGTTTATTTTGGTACCACTAGTATGCGGTATCTCATACTTTTTCAGGATCTTTTGGGCACATTTAAAATGGTATTCTAGTAGGGGCCCAATATAACTTCTTTCAATGGCGAACACACTCAATTAGTCAATTATAATTCATGACAAACACCCCCTTAGCGTTGCATCCTAGAGTCCAATTCCAACCATTGGCACCGGCGTGGACGTGTGGTGCTATTGCCTTTTAAATTACATATCTGGATGCATGCTTTGTCAGGGTGATTATGATATGAATGATACCACAATGTAAATTGTCTGCTTTATGTGTAGCTAATCATCTTTAGGTTACTAAGAATTAATTCATTATTGAAATATTTTAGAGAGCAGCTGAAAGAAGAGGTTATGGTGGTGAGAGGTACGAGCAGTTGGAGTTTCAGAAAAAGGTTGCCCAGTCATACCAGGCCCTTCAGGATCCATCATGGAAGGTAAGGGACATTAGTCCAAGTGTGGCTGGGTCTTTATGTTTGCGGTTTTACCTCTTATTGTATTCAAAAAAGGGAGGGGAGAAGTAGTGGAGATGGGAGGGGAAGGAAATGAGAGATTTTTAGAAGTATGCTATGTTTGGTTTGAAATACGGAAGAGGGAGGGAGGCTGATGGTGGCAGCCACCTCTCTTAACTCCTTGATTATATGGATTTATGTGTAATGAATATTTTAGACAAACCATCATTTTCACCACCTCCTTAATCCCAACTTGTGGACATGAAATTGTTAGTCTTAATTAATTATTTATAATTAGTTACCAGTATAAATGAGCGCCACAAAAAGAGGCAGTAGTGTTTTATAAAAGTATGTTAAAATATTGTATTTTGTAATTAAAAAGAACTAGTAATGTATTTGTACATGCAGTAACTATGCAACATAATTTTACAATGACTTAAAATGCGAAATATTGATTTGTCTGTATAATACTGCAGTTAGGAAAATAAGTTTTTCCACTTATCAGCCTAAATGTCTTAACTATTGATCATTCTCTATTTCGCTGATTAGATTGTAGATGCAACCCTTCCCATTGAAGACGTTGAAATAAAACTGAGAGAATCTGTGGTAGAATGCATGACAGAATGCCTAGAGGGAAAACCCTTGTTGTCATTGTGGTCGAACTAGCTTAGTTTGTTTATGGCCTTTACTCGTAAGGGTCCATGTTTCTGTATACTTGTGCATTACAGTTCCTCTGGCGACTTCTGTGCAAGGTAAGGTATCATCACTTATCAAGTCTTCAGTGACATTATTTAGAATTAATGTTTTCTTTTTTCTTTCTTGTAATTTCTGTCCCAAAAAGATTGCTCTTTGACCACATTTACCATTTTAAACCATTTTGTAAGATTCTTGTCAGTCATTGGATTTTTCTTTTCATTTTTCAATTTGTATGCGGTAGCTTGTTATCAATCTGTGGATAGGGGTGGAACCGGAGCCGCCCAACTTGTCTACGGTGTTGGGTCCTCTAAATTGGGACTTGACTGAACAAGGCCAATGCGAGTTGGTTTCTACTTTTTATTATGATTTTAAAATAGGGTACTTGGACCGGTTTGTGACCGGTTCCAGGTAGGCATGGACCTGGGTCAGTCCGATCCTGGTTCTGGGCTGAGACTGTCCGGTCCCGGTTCCGGGCCCAGACTGCCCGGCTCTTGCCAATTGAGAGTGAAGATTGGGCTTGACCCGGGTCTTAAGGTCTCCGGGCTGGTTCTGTGTACCAGGTCGGTCCGGTCCCAGTTTTTAATTTTTATTTTATTTTCACAAATTTGGAATAAATAAAAAATTACTGTAGGGACCTTGACTCCCGGTCCCAAAAGGCCAAAACATGCAAACCTGGGAGGCTGGGATCAGGTATCCAAACCCACGAAATTAACACATTTCACATGTATAAGTGTATAAGTGTATTTCATTAGTGATACTTATTTAGTCCATAAGAGAAAAAATCAGGGCCGGTCCTATCTATTTTCGGGCCTATAGGCGGGATAATATCTTGGTCTTATGTTCAAGTCAAATAATAAACAATATTTATTTAAAATAATAATTATAATAAAATCATCTTATAAAGGTCATCAAATAAAAATGAAACTCATTTTGTTATTATTATTATTATTATTATTATTATTATTATTATTATTTAAATTACATATTTGGTGAAAAGTAACAACACAAGTATCACATAAAAAACATTACTTAAAAACGTTTCTCACAGAATTTTCAAGATTCAATTTCTTAACAAAAATAAAAATTTCAATTGATCCATGCTAAACTTAACTCTGTCTTTTCTTATCTTCTTTTCTTTCTCTCTTTATCCCATCCTGATTCATCAATTTTATCAAAAATATTTTATTTATCATGGATGGATTGTTTGAAGTCTAGAAAGAAGAAGTTTTTTAGTCACCGACCACCGTTTGGGCTTCTGGATTGATTGATTTCAATTCTTAACAAATTGCTGAGACACTCACTACTCTGCAACATTTTTTACTCTTGTTGATATTGGAATTTGGAAACAACAAATGAATTTGGATGGGTTTTGAGAATTGGAAGTTTTGGAATTTGGAGGCCTAACATAACTTGGTACTTTTTTAATTAAAGCGATTATAACACTTAGAGACCCGATGAGAGTTAAGAGAGGCGTGCCATTTTACATTTTTTTATAAATAATTTTTAACCTTGAGCCAATTAATTGAGCCAATTAAAAAAAGAAACATACACACACTACATACAAAAAATATTTTTGGACCTATTTTTTCTCCATATTTTCTTGGGCCTAGGGCGGTCACCCCCTGTTGCACCCCCCTAGGGCCGCCCCTGGCAAAAATTAATATTACACTTGATGGTTTAAATGCTAAATAAACTGATACATTAGCTATTACTACGTACTATCCTCTGTTTTTTTAATTGCAACATGTTGAATTTTACACTATTCACATGTTCTACTTTGACTACATTTTACGGTATTATTTTAAGAAAAATTATTTTTTAAAAAATATTGTTCAATTCATCTCTTTACAAATTTTTAAAATCTGATTTTTAATTATTTTTTACTAATAGAGATTAAGATATAGTTACGGTCAAAGACGTGCGTTGGCAAGTGTGAAATGTTGACCGTTGCAACTAAAAAAGAACGAAGAAAGTATAATATAGACATGTTAAAATAGCACTCCGTAAGACCGTAATAAGGATTTAATCATTTATTTTTATAGTTTTTTTGAATATATTATTTTACAGAATTGAAAAACCTAAAACGAAATGAAGTCAAAGTTGTTTTATACTTTTGAGATAAGTTCGGACGAGGTTTAAAAGGGGAGGATTTTTTTTTTTTTTTTTACCAAGGGGAGGATATTTAAAGATGTTGAACATTTGGATCTCAAATCCATCATCCATATGGTCCATAATAAATTGCAACAAAAGTTGAAGGCGTATGCCACATAAGCTTAAAAAACCAAGGAAAAATTGATAGTAATAATCTCAACTATTGACGGTCAGCTCATAATAATCTCAACTATTGATTATTTCAGAATAATCCCAACTGTAGGGACCTTCCGCCAATAATGGTCCGAGGTGACCAAATATAAATAAATTCATATAGTTTCTAAAATGGATGAGAAGAGATATAGCAAGTAATTCCTATAAATAATCCCAACTTTTAATTTTTACGCTTAATTTCTATTTGAAATTCAGTTGTTATCTTGGTCATGGACCATTATTGGCGGACGGTCCATATAGTTGGGATTATATAAAAATAATCAATAGTTGAGATTATTGTTAGCGGACCAACAATAATTGAGATTATAATTTTCCATTTTTCCAAAAACAAAACTCACTTGTAGCACCTGGAAGTATCGATTCCTCCGACCTGTAGCCCCATCAAGCTCTCTATTTTCCCAATACTACCACATAGCCCCATCAAGCTCTCTATTTTCCTAATACTACCACATAGGCTCAATACGATTTTTGAGGTGTAGCCTATGCTTACTCAACTTTTGTTGTACGTCCGCCCCTGCCTCAACCACATACTTTTTAATTTATAAATCCCCGTGTCGGTCTGTTAAGACCCGAGGTTCCATCCTAAAAGATCAACCTGTTAGAGGAGTAATACAGATCTTAATATAGTGTTTAATTCTTTCAGAGATATCCGTTGTGGGACTTTAACACCCCTCCTCACGACCAGAAACTTCGTCTCGATCGTGTCATCATTCATGTTTTCATCGGTTCGTCATCTTTTTAATAATCGTGTGACCATTTTTCATAAGTGGTACCACGCCATGGATCAACCTGGCTCTGATACCATGTTAAGACACAAGGTTCCATCCTAAAAGGTCAACCTATTAGGAGGAGTAATCCAGATCTTAATATAATGTTTAATTCTTTCATAGATATCCGATGTGAGATTTTAATACCTTCAAACTTGACAAAGTTTTAAGGGACAGATGAAGTGTTACTTATATAATTCTAAAAGACAAAATATGACTATTTTTGGCCCTCGAACCAACTTAAAAAATGCAATTCACCCCAAACATAGGAGGCTCTGTCCGACCGTCGCCGTTTGAGGCGGTTTCTGGTGGAATTTTTTGATGAAATTTTTTGAGCATCATCTTCTTTAAGTACACTTACCCATACCAAATTTAAGATAAAACTTCATCCGCGAAGACAATCAAATGATTTTCTGAAATGTACTGCGTTATTTAACTGCACAGTTATCTTCAAAAATTCATTTGGCTGTCTTCCCGATTGATTTTTTGGCTGGAATTTGGTATGGGTAAACTAGACTTTATGAAAAAGACGCTCAAAAGATTTCATCAAAAAATTTCACCGGGAATCATCCCAGATTGCGATCGACTGATAGAGCCTCCTAATGAGTTACACTTTTTAAATTAGTTATGACCTATTTGACGCTTTAGAGAACTCGTTTCACACGCTTTAGGTGTACACAAAAGTTGTACACTCTTTGTGTACACTTGTCTGTCCCCGCAGTCCAAGTTGTCTGTCGACAACTTGGACTGCGGGGACAGACAAGTGTACACAAAAAGTGTACAACTTTTGTGGCATTTTTCTTTCTAGAAATATGATCAACCGCTCCCTACACAATAATTGAGTGTTCCACCTTTTCTTAGCAGTTGGTCGTGTTAGGAATTAAACTCACGCACGCGATGAATAATAAGAACACATGAAAATTTGGTAACCCAGTTCGCCATGAATGACTACGTCTGAGGGCGCTACCAAGCCAGAAATATTATTGCCATTTTCGGATCACCAGATTACAAGGGAGAGAACTTGTATTTATAGAGAAGTAAAACCTAACCCAAGGCAACTAGGACGAAAAATAAAAACAAGCCCAAACTGTACGGATTCCGTACGGCCCAGACTGTACGGACAAACTTTTCTCCGCAGTTATACGGTCTCTAACACCTTACGGGTCGTCTCCCAAATTTTCTCCGCAGTTGCTAGTCTCACTCGTCATCTCCTTCAGGCGTGGTGCAGCAACCTCTTCTCCGCCTCTGCCACAGCTTGTCCAGGCCACGCCGCTACCTTGCTGCCTCTCACCCTGGCGTCGGCTTTGCAACTTCCTTTCCTCCATCGTCTGTCCTTTGCTTCAGCATACAATGAATGTGACGAATTCCCCACATATTAAACCACTGTTGCAGCGGTGGTGATCGAAAGAAGAAAAGATTAGATTTGTTTCGATCCAACCGTTTATTTCCGCCACTCCAATTGTCCATAATCACATCACTCATTCCCATTGATTATGAGAAAGAGAAAAGTGTCAGTTCAGTACCTAAACTCGTGGCGTCTGGCGTAAAGAGTACGTGATGTAGCAAATGAGTTCCAACGGTACACCAATTGTCCAAACGCGAGCTAATTTGGTACCTCGGCCCATTAGTTGGGATAAAACGGTGACATGGCGAACAGATTACTTACGTGACCAATTTAAACATGTTTGTTAAGTCCTCCGGCTCATTTAAACAGGGTTGCCTCCAAGTCAGCTTCCTTCCTCTTCTTATATTACAAACCAAACCCTATGATATGGAGTTCATCATCCTCCGGCTCATCTGTACTTTTTATCTCTTCCCTTCCGGCATATGTATACTGGCTCCGGAGGTTTGGTTCTTGTTTCTCTTCCGGCATTTTACTTGGGGGTGGTAAACGGTGTCTCCAAGTCACAAATTTTATTTCTTTTTCAGGTTCGGGAACAACACAAATGTCTTATGGAAATTGCTAATGTGGAATTCCAGCAAAGATTCTGACTTCATGGACAAATGACAATCCAAGGAGATGATTCACTGCATGCTCAAGAGCCTTATAATATTAGTTCTAATATCAGTTGTAATATGACTCGTAATGTGACTTCTAATATGCCATAATTTTTTGTTGTTGTTGATATGCCATTCTATAAGGGTACAAGTGTCTGCTGCAACATGTTTGAATGGCTTGATGAGGAAATCTGTTATAGGTCGAAGATGATTATTCCAGGTTTGTTGAGGAAAATAAACAGTTTGGAAGCTGAGCTTGCTGATGAGAAGGCAAGAGAAAAAGGGTTGTCTAAAAAATATATGTTTTGGAGTGTATTGTGGTTTATTCTTGCAGGATTACTGGTGGTAGTGATATGGGTTGTTTGCTATGACAGTGAAAGCAAGAAAATGGTATCTTCGAAGATGTGTGATGCTGGCAAGGATTAATTGGAATGGAAATTCGAGTAGAGTTTCAGTTATTATATTATCTAAAGTAGGTGTGTGTTTTAGGAATTCATGTATGACTTAGTTACATTTGATCTGTTAGTAGCTCTTGCTTTGATGTATCACTTTGTTAGGTTTCATGTATGACAAATGTTGTAATGTATCAGTTCTCAGATATGATGTCTGACTTTAAGCTGGACAAGTGTTGTAATGTATGAGTTCTTTGGTATGATGTATGAGAAGTGTTGTAATGTGTTGTACTGATAATGACTTTCATGTGTGTTTGAAATATGACGGCTATGGACAGATATATGACCAAAAACATAGTACAAGTTCAATTATTTTTTGCACTTATAGTTTGAACATCATATTCAGTGTTATTGACCTGAAACTACATACTGCACATTTTGGCTAAAGGATGACCTCAGAACCTGAACACATGGACTGATATTGACCTGAAATCAGTCCAAAAAGACCTCAAATACATACTGAACCATTCGGCTAAACAATGACCTCAAAACCTGAACATATGGACTGATATTGACCTGAAATCAGTCCAAAAAGACCTGAAATACATACTGAACCATTTGGCTAAACAATGACCTCAAAACCTGAACATATGGACTGATATTGACCTGAAATCAGTCCAAAAAGACCTGAGATACATACCGAACCATTTGGCTAAACAATGACCTCAAGTCACTGAACATATGGACTGATATTGACCCGAAATCAGTCCAAATAGACCTGAAATACACACTGAACCATTTGGCTCAACAATGACCTCAAGTCACTGAACATATGGACTGATATTGACCTCAAATCAGTCCAAATAGACCTGAAATACACACTGAACCATTTGGCTCAATAAAGACTTAAAAACCTGAACATATGGACTGATATTGACCTCAAATCAGTCCAAATAGACCTGAAATACATACATGGACATAAAACAGATATGACCTCAAATAATAGGTGATAAGTCCGTATTTAGACACGCATTTGATGCGTGTTGGGATTGGATTTTGATGGTTTTCCTAGCTTTAAGGTGTTGCAAGTCTCAATTTTAGCTCAAGTTATGTTACCAGGTGGTGGTTCGAGTTTTGTGTCATTTGGAGTCAAAATCAGGAATTTAGAGTTAGGCACCGGCGCTTAAGGAGAAATCAGGACGATTCTAGAAGCATTAGAGATTGATTTAAGAGCTTTAGAGGTCAGCGGGAGGTTTACGATGAAGATTTGATGACAAAAGAGCTCTAGGATTGGCTACGGGATCAAAAGAAGACAAAAAGAGCTTAAAAACGGCGATCAGGATGACCTTCTGTCAATCATTCAAGCATATCTCCTTGTACAAACATCCAAAGAACACGATTCAAATTCCATGTGAAAGATAACGTCAAGGGCTACAAATCATATGAAGACACCTTTGCGAGAATCGTAGGGAAAGAAGGTGAAAACAGACGATGAAGTCAGATGATCTCTGTTGCGATTTCAGAATGATACCTTCCACCATTTTGATAATATCTCTTGATTAGATGATTCAAATCACATTCGAAAAATTGGGGTGGATAGAGGACTTCATTATATAAAACTTGCATGAAGGAAGCATTGCCAAATTTGGAAGTTAAGTAGGCACGATCGTTCCCTCAAGGTCAGGCACGATCGTGCGTGAAGAGAAAGCATCGCGGAGCTACTGCCAGGCAGGCACGATCGTGCCTGGAGGGAGGCATGATTGTGCCTGCCCAAAATGCGCTTTTTTGCTCCGGAGGCACGATCTTGTCTGGCACCGTGCCTGCCTCCGGAAATCCCAATTCAGCTCAAATTTCATCCGTTTTTTTCTATTTAAAAAGCCTGTAAACCCCTGTTTTCGAGGGGGGAAACTTAGAGAGAGGCTTAGGGACGAGTTTTACGTTGTTTTTCCGCTATTTTGTTCAAGACCCTGAGATTCTTTGTAAGTTTCATCTTTTTAATTAATGACAATTATTCCTATTCATCCCAATTCTGTTGATTCTTCAATTATGAATTGTGAGTAGTTTAATTAGGGATTTGGGGTTGATGAAGAGGCTAATCATGATGTATGGCTAGATTCTTGTCGGTTTAATTGTATGAATGCCGTTTAATTTGTGTTTGAATAATTTAACTGATTCTCTTGTAACCTACACTGCATCTAGAATTACAATTCCATGTAGAATGAATTAAGAGAGATCTAATTTATTCTAGGACACATTCACACACACTTAATCGTTCGCTAAGAGATTAGTAGCAATTAAGGGGCCGTAATATCGCTCGTCTTGGCAATAATTTAGGATCCTGTCGCATGAGAGATCAGCCTGGTCCCCTAATTTATTGTACTCTACGCCGCGAGAGCGGTAACAACTTAGTAGTGATTAGCTAGGCTCAATTAAATTAATTTCATGTAATTAGTCCTGATTAGCCAGAAATCCGGTTACCCCGGAATCAATCCCTGTTCCCTTCGTCATTAATTAGAAAGAACCCCCTAGTTTAATCGTTTTATTCGCATTTTTATTTTCCAGCAACCAATCTCGCACGACGCATTTTTATTTATTTATTTTAATCGCTGAATTTAATTAAGGGAAAAGTACATAAAACGTACCTGTGGTTTGGGCCATTTTCAGATAGGGGCATGTGTTTCATTTTCTAACAAAGTGGGGCATGTGTTTCAATTCCGTTATCATAGCAGGGGCATGACATCTAACGCCGTTAGAAAACTTAACCCCGATTTTAAAAAGTCTCCGAAAAATTAAAAGAAAAATACTCGGAGGTGCTCCTCGTAAAGGAGATCAACAAACTATCTTTATTTTTTTGTTTCCAGCCACCATATCTCCAGAAAGTCCACCAGAAAATTGATATTAGCGAATTTGTTTTTAAAAAATAATCCAAATCGAGCCGAAAAATCCAAAGAGAAAGATAGTTTGTTGATCTCCTTGACGAGGCGCACCTCTCAGTATTTTTCTTTTAATTTTTCGGAGACTTTTTAAAATCGGAGTTAATTTTTCTAACGGCGTTAGACGCCATGCCCCTGCTATGATAACGGAATTGAAACACATGCCCCACTTTGTTAGAAAATGAAACACATGCCCCTATCTGGAAATGGCTCAAACCACAAGTACGTTTTCTGTACTTTTCCCTTAAATTAACTCTTGATTCCCTTTTGTCCGTCCCTGTGGAGATAATACTCGTACTTACACCACTATATTACAATCTATTTTAAGTGCGAGAAAACTTGCATCAATAGGCATACTCTAAACTCCTTTGTCAAAATGAAACGATCTTAATATGACATAATGAACTCCCTCAAGAATCTTAAAATATTATTGCAAGCATGAACAAAAGTTTATACAATAATTCATGAAACCATGAACTACTTTACACCAACCACATATGAGCTATTGCTGCAATCATGAGTGGGACACAGACCACAAACATGGTACCAAAAATCAGTAGTGTAACACCCCGGCCTCGCAGGACCCAAGGTAGTTACTCCATACCTCTAGTACTATCCTCACAAACCACCACGAGCCTTTACCGCGCACTTTGTCCTCACTCATGCGCGCCCTGAGAAACTTCCCAGAGGGTCACCCATCCCAAGACTACTCCCGTGCAAGCACACTTAACTTTGGAGTTCTTGGGTGATGAGCTCCCTTAAAAGGAGATGCACCTCTGTTGGTATGAGTAGTACTATTAATCCTCTTAAATTAATCTCGGGTATTACAATCACCCCCACTTAGGATCGCAATGTCCTCGTTGCGCCCTTAAACCAATCTCAATCAAACCCCATAATCTTTTCCCCTGCTAAGTGTCTGCCCGATATCCAACGGATCAGCGCACTGTTGCAGGGTTGCTCTGATACCACCTTTAACACCCCGGCCCCGCAGGACCCGAGGTAGTTACTCCATACCTCTAGTACTGTCCTCACAAACCACCACGAGCCTTTACCGCGCACTTTGTCCTCACTCATGCGCGCTCTGAGAAACTTCCCAGGGGTCACCCATCCCAAGACTACTCCCGTGCAAACACGCTTAACTTTGGAGTTCTTGGGTGATGAGCTCCCTTAAAAGGAGATGCACCTCTGTTGGTATGAGTAATACTATTAATCCTCTTAAATTAATTTCGGGTATTACAAGTAGCTCTAAAGTAACTAATTAAGGGTACATTACCATTCCAATACAGTTGTAATTGAAGCATGTGAGTCGGCCCCAATATATCTCAAAAAAGCATATGATCCAAAACACCACCAACATATATGCAAAATAGGTAGTAGGATCTTTCTAGTAATAAAATATTGTTGCAACAACTAATACATAGATACAATAATAACTTCATAGTCTACTGCCCAACATTGCCTTCCATGGAATCATAGAGCTCATTAAACCTCTCTCGTGCAGTTGTGGAAGTACCAGTAGGTTCCAAATCTTCACGATGCCTTTTCCTTGAAGTTTGAGCATTGACACTCCTTTCCTTAGCCTTCCTTGCCCTAACTCTCTGTAAACAAAAAATATGGAAATTGCATGACACATAACATGACACAAATTCTTCTTATACCAAGTTAAATGTCAATGTGAACTTAGGCATTACCTCCAAACCTTGAATAATTATTGATCTTTGCCCTTGAACTCAAAGACACCATTAGTAGGTGTGTCATTTGTACCCTGTGTGTCAGAGAAGTATGCTTGCAGCCTACTTGGACCTCCATTTTCTTCTTCTTGAGGAGCTTTGCCAGTGTTACTTTCTTGCAAACCACATACATACACGTGCCTGATTTGACCATTTCACACTGAAATACATAAAGCATTTATATTACATTAATTATTATGCATACCTGAGTTGAGGTATTCTTGTTAGGACACCTGTTCTTAGTGTGCCTAGGTTGGGAGCAATTTCCACATGTTCTTCTTGGAGGATTGGAAGTTGCAGGTTGCACATCAGAAGGGGTCTGTTCCATCACACAACTGTTACCTTGAAAATCACCGGGGAAAGTAGTTGAGCCTTGCATAATCACCTCTTTTGATGGACACCCTTTTTTGTTGTGCCCTTTTTTGAAGCATAGCTGACAGGTCATGGTTGTACCTCTCTTTGGCAACTTCCCACTAGAAGGAAACTCTCCAATTTCTTTTATTCTATTTTTCCTAGGTTTGCCCATCTCTTTTGTTTTCAACTCAGCAGGTAATACTTTGAAGTCAGACTTTGGCCAGAATAAAGGACCAGCTATGGGTGTCATCATCTTAGAATAAGTATGAGTATACATTTCCTTCTTATACCACAGGGAGAC